CCCCCCTCTCTCTCTCTCTCTCTCTCTTTATCTAGCTATCTATCCATCCATCAGTCAGTCTGTCTGTCTACCTCGCGCGGTCATCTGCGCGCGCACAATTCGCACAAGGCGTCCTCAACGTTTGCAGCGTCTCGCGAATTTTCGCGCGACTCGACTGCACGCTGAATAAGAAAGGGGGAGGAAATTGGGGATGGAGATTGGGGATCTAGACTCGGAATAATTATATACGAACTTACTATAATAATGTCAAGGTTGTTGGTGAGATGATCCGGCAGAACGCGTTTGCTCACTTCCTCTTCCGGCATGCCGTCGAACCTGTCATGCTTCTTCCTCTCTTTGTACGTCTTGGCGCGCTTCTTGGCCTCCGCGAGCTCCGCTCTGGAAGAAAGAGCCATAGAGACGACCGTGATAATACGATGCTGGATTCCGTCTTTATGCCACGTCATTCGATTCAGCGGAACGCGCGACTGCAGTATAATAAAACACGACTATTTCTCTTTCTCTCCCTCCCTCGATCGGCAGGGGGGGACACGCAGCGCGCGACTTTCCACGTTCGCTTTTTATCAAGAGCCACGATGAATTCGCGCGCGGCGTGTCTCTGACACGCTCGCATCTCGACACTCGTGACACAATGTTGCACGTTTTGTGTCGGGCAGGAAGTCTCGCGAGTCGCCGCGACGAATAATGCCGGCGAATAAATAAGCTCGAGTCGCGCAGATGAAACGCCGGCTGTAAGCGCGATTTTCGATTCTTGCATCGCCGGAGTGGAGAGAAAGGCACGAGCGATGAGACACGGAGACGTGTTAAAAAGCGAGCGACCTCTAGACGAACCGCGCAGAGATTCTCACGCGAATCATTTGATCGCGAATCGCGCGACGAATCGCACAAATTCCCATCCCTTTCGGTCGTCATCGCGCAACACTCAACGTATCCGCGGGATGGCAGACCCGATCATGTTACGTTCCTAATATGCGGAACTATTTTTAAGTTTTCGACCGGCGGCCACACAAAAATAAGCGTAACTGAAGATCCCATCGGATCAACAACATGGTACCCGGTCAGAGACGGACATTGTTAGCAGCGGATATTTTTAACCATAGCTGCATGCAAATATATAACTAACTCCGGTTATATCGAGTCGCGGGCTCCGTGGACCACAATCTTTTTCAGCTTCGTTTCCCTCTTACGGGGGGATCATTTTAGCGTGTTTTTAATAATAATGCTCCAACGAACGGATTTGAAACTTCAAAGACCTCTCCTCTCCTCTTTTCTTCCCCGCGAAGCGCTTTGCATACGTAAGAAAAAGTTGATTCGAAAGCGAAAGAATCTCCACGTGACGTTGGATCGACTCTTCGTGCGCGTGTATGTACACCTGATACCCGACGACGAGCTTGAAGTTCCTTTCAGTGCGAGAATTGTAACACTCTCGATAGCTTGCTCCCAAAATCATACGTATAAATAGACGCTCGCTTCGCAGAAGTCTGCCACCATTGCACCTTCTTGTGCAAACACACATTCGTTTGCGAAACGATTTCAACTATCTTTTTTGTTTTCTCCGATCAAGTCAGTAGGGCGTCGAGTGATCACGACTGCGTGTTACCAATTTGATTACTCGTAACTGATAGAAACCAGAGTGACAACGTTCGACGTCACAACTACAACGGAGGATTAAAAAAAAACACGAGTATCTGTATTATATTTGTATCTGTCAAATTAGTGCGTAATAAAAGGCCATCACACTTACATCGCGGTGCTGTCACTTTGGCTTCTGTCATGATCGATTATTGCGCACGCACGTTAGAAGTGGCACGTCTGAATTCGGACAACTTGAAGCGTTGAAAGACGATCAAGACTGCAGATCGTTCGGCAACAATCGACTACGTCGAATTTTTCATAGAACAAGAACCGAAGAAAAATTGCTCACGCGATGTATGATCTTGGGAAAGCCATGTTGAACACGTCGCGGTGCGCCCGACAGAATTATGGTGAGGTGAGGTTCGCGGCCCCACTTATGCGATCGGTTCTCGCGTGAACCTCCCACTGCCACGTGAGGTTCGCCTCCGTTTATACACGCCGTCGTCGTTCGCATAATCGAGGCCACTACGCGCGTTCGTTAAACGAAACGACGTTCCCGTAATCGCGATTCCAGCGCGCTGGCTGCTGCCGCATTAAAGAAGGCAGAGAGCCAGCGCGCCGGGCGCGCTCTAACGACGCCCCAGTAATTGATTATATATGCGACTCTTACTCCTCGGGGGTGAGTATCATCTCCGACTTTTTTTTGCGGCCACGCTTCTTCGGCTGATGCGCCAGCTGGGGATTGACGGCGCCGTTCATCACGAGATTCATCTGATGATGTTGCGGCCCGGGCAGCGCCCCGGGCGGCGTCGACGTGGGTGTACCCAGCCCAGGTTGGGCACCGCCCGGACACGTCATGTTCTCGGGATTGCCGCCTGGACTGCTTGCCGACCTCATGCCGCCCATCGACATTTCCTCGTCCACGAACGAGTACGGGTCCACCGGCGTCTCGCATTTTATCGCGACCTGGAAAAGAACAGCGGACAAACGCCCGCGTCGGTCAGCGTGCCTGATGCTCTCGGGGCGCCGTCGTGCCCGCCGGAATTAATGCGGGAGTTTTGCAACTTTTGCGCATCGCAAATGGCAGGGACGGAGGGACGACGGGAACGCGCGCCGCTCTCTTACGGCGGCGTCGCGCAATGGCGAATTGCGGAAAACTGTGAGAGCTAGGGAAAGCCGTTTGACCGTTGCGACGAATCGCGCGGGTCCTTCGAGCGTTTCCATGCAATGTCGACGCGCGCGTCTCGCCGGCGGGACGACGATAATAAGGGATAAATTTTCGCTACGAGGCGGGAAGATGTGTCTCTCTCTTACGTGCTTCACTTGGAAAAGACTTTATTTGCGAAACGAAGTTTTCAGAATTCAATAATGCAGACTCTCTCTCTTTCTCTGCCTCTTCTTCACTTTCTCTTTCTCTCTCTTTCTCCGGCTTTTCGAAAGGCAACGAGCCTTTTGTGCGCAAGAACACGCACTGCGTACTAATTAACTATCCATGTGCACTCTTTATGTATTCCATGAGGCTCGGAATCTTTTTTATGGCCGTCAGAAAGACTCCTCTGTACGAAGAAAAACGTCAGATCTCTCTCTCTCTCTCTTTCTCTCTCTCTCTCTCTCTCTCTCTCTCTCTCTCTCTCTCTCTCTCTTGGAGGGAAAATTATACCAGAATTCAAGCATAGCGTACAAACATCATTTTTACCTTGATATCGCAGATAATATTCGTGCCGATCAGCACAGACCTGGTCGCGTTGTCGCCCGAAACGAAAGAGAGAGAAAGAGAGAGAGGCTTGATCAGATTTACAATGAAATGATACATGTCACACGCGCGCGGCTTCGCGTGAAAATGTCTCGCGTCAAAATCCCCAACGGGTCGCGATGCCTTTATTGTAACATTAGGGACAGGCGTATTACCGTATTTACTGACCGAATTTTCTCGCGTTTCCCCCCGAATAATACGCACGACGGCACGAAGAACGACGAAGAGGAACGGTCCCGGACGCGCACCGCGCCGAATCACCCCGTGTGTATATACGTGTGTGTGTGTGTGTGTGTGATATCCGGGGAATCGCGATGACGGGCCCGAACTGTGTTCGCAGCCTAATTTAATTCCACCGCGGGAATTATTATACCGGCGAAAATTTTTCGTCGCACGCCGCGGAGAGCAGCAGCAGCCGTCGCCGCTGCGCTTCCAGAAAAATGAATTTTCCCGTCGCTCGCGCGCGACATGTGAGGGAAAAAGAGGGAAGAAGCGGCAGAGGGAGACAGAGAATCCGATGTGAAGCATGTACGGATCGCGGACACGTACAGTGGTGATCATAAAACGTGTATATAGCCCCGGCCAGGCGTCTGCGCATGTATATGTGTCTCGATGCCTTGAGGGAAATATATAATAGCGCAATTGCCGCGTGGACCGAAAATACGCTACCGCGCAGCGTATCAACCGTTCGCGGTTGTAAAATGTTCGGTCCCTTTTTTTCTTTCTCTTTTCTTTTTCTCCCGCTCTCGCTCTCTTTCGTATCGCGCGGCCGTCGGTGTTCGCGTTTCTTTCCTCCCGCTGCACCTTTCCTGTCGTTCCCTTACTTTCTTTTTCGCGTCAGACAAAATCGACCGAGTATTGGGGAGAGGGGGGGACTTCGCGCTCACCTCGGCGGTCCTGCTCGCGCCTGCGCACGCGGAAAACCCCGGTTAAACTTCGGTTAACTTTGATTAATGTTTATGCAAACGGCACGCAATGTTGATTTATGAGACGCGCCGCGCGCGTGTTTTGTCGCGTGAGCTAATTGCTTTGGACGAACGGTGACGCGCGTCCGCAAGGGTCGGGTATGTCTGACGGGAAGGGAGAGGGGGGGGGACGCGCCAAATTGAGCGAGCACGAAGGCGCGCGACGTCAGGGGTGTCATGCGAAGGATGTCGAATTATTCGCAGGCTTCTCCTCCGCGTCGGGACGAGTCACCGCGACAGTATTAACGAGCCGGTATTAGATGATCATGACGCGACCGCGCGACGATCTGACTGACGTCTCGCGCCCCTCGTCTCCTCCTCCCTCGACGTTGGCGCCCCGAAAAATCCGATATCGCGAACCAAAATAAAGGTTCGGAACGCGCTGTGTCGCCCGATGTGAGCTCGGGAATTATTCAACGCGTAATTATATCCCGAAAGCTGTCAATAACGCGATAATTCAGCACGCCGTCACACGCGCGTTATATTCGGCGCTTTTAATCTCGAATAACGAGTCCGTGACTGTTCACACGTTCGCTCGTTCGTCTTAGTTCACACGCGCGGGGAGAATTTTATGGTAAAAGTTACCGCGGGATTTTGCAACCGACGAATATGATCGACACTCTGCGGTAATTGACTATCCTCTTTTATCAAGCATCCTTATATTTTAGAGACTGAACTGTGCTATTAAAAAATTTGCTGTGTTTCTTGCGAAATCTGCTATGTTTCACGGTAAAAACCTTAGCTTTTCATGAGAGCAAGTGTTTATACCATTTAAATAGAAGTATTTAGATTCAAAAGTCAATGTGTTATCAGTGCCCAATGAATAAATATTTTCTATTTTTTACATATTCTTTCTTTTACAGTGTAGAAACAGTAAAATTGAAAGAAATTTATATGAAAGAAAAAGCAAAGTATAATATTTCCTCCGTGTACACGGAACGTCCCGCAAAGAGAGAGAGAGAGAGAGAGAGAGAGAGAGAGAGAGAGAGAGAGAGAGAGAGAGAGA